GAGTGACGGACTGCTTCGATGAGCTTGAGGCGCTTCGCGTAGTCCTTGGTCTTCTGCTTCGAGCGAGTCGATGCGAGACCCTCGCGGATTTCCGCGGCTTCCGCGTCCAGATCGAGCATCTCGATCAGTGTGCGGATCGCTTCAGCACCCATCTCCGCTTTGAACTCGTTGCCGTATTGCTCAAGGGCGCTGCGGTGCTCGTCCTCAGTGAGGACCTGCTTGAAGGTCAGCTCGGTATCACCCGGCTTTGTGACGACGTAATCCTGGTAGTAGATGATCTTCTCAAGATCCGAGGTCTTCATCCCAAGAAGCGTGCCGAGACGCGATGGGAGGGACTTGAAGAACCAGATGTGCACACCTGGAGATGCGAGGTTGATGTGTCCCATCCGCTTGCGTCGAACGCGCGAGTGGGTCACCTTCACGCCACATCGGTCACAGATGTAGCCCTTGTACTTCGTGCCCTTGTACTTACCACAGGAGCACTCGTAGTCACGCTCTGGGCCGAAGATCCGCTCACAGAAGAGCCCGTCTTTTTCTGGACGGTATGTTCTGTAGTTGATGGTCTCCGGCTTCTTCACCTCGCCGTACGACCATGCGCGGATGTCGTTGGGCGATGCGAGGGTGATTTTCACCTTTGAGAAGTCGTTTACTCTGTCAAAGACGCTTTCGTTCATATCGGTTTCTCCCGTCAAGGAGTCAAAGTTCTCATTCAAACAACACGATTCGTGCGGACGAGCTGCCCGCGATGGGAGCTGTTACAGCAGACTCCCGCCTTCGAGTTGTTTCTTCTCCAGCGTCAGGTTCATACCCAAGCCCTTGAGTTCGTTGCAGAGCACGTCAAACGCGACCGGCATGCCGGCTTCGAGCTTGTTGGTGCCCTTGACCATCGACTCGTAGATCTTGGTACGACCCTCGACATCGTCAGACTTCACAGTCAGCAGTTCCTGCAGGATGTAGGAAGCGCCGTACGCTTCGAGCGCCCAGACTTCCATTTCACCGAAGCGCTGACCACCGGTCCGTGCCTTACCACCGAGCGGCTGCTGGGTGATGAGCGAGTATGGACCCGTTGCACGAGCGTGGATCTTGTCGTCCACGAGGTGGTGCAGCTTGAGCAGGTACATAAACCCGACAGTCGTCCGCTGCTTGAATGGCTCGCCGGTGCGTCCGTCGTAGAGCTGAATCTTTCCACCTGCAGGCATCTCCGCGAGCAGTTCGCGGTGGTGTGGCCAGGTGCCGTTGGCTTCGCACTCGGCCCAGCGATCACGGCAGTGCTGGTTCGCTTCGTCGAGCGCCGCGTGGATCTCGTCTTCGGTACAGCCGTCAAACACAGGAGTGACCGCTTGGAATCCGAGGACCTGCGCCGCCCAACCGAGGTGGGTTTCGAGGATCTGACCAACGTTCATACGCGAAGGAACACCCAGCGGGTTGAGCATGACATCGACCGGAGTCCCGTCATCCATGAACGGCATGTCTTCCTCCGGAACGACGCGTGCGATCACACCCTTGTTCCCGTGACGACCCGCCATCTTGTCACCCGCGGAGAGGGTCCGCTTGGTTGCGATGTAGACCTTGACCATCTCGAGCACGCCGTTTGGAAGCTCGTCGCCACGCTTCATGTGCGCGACCTTACGCTGCTTCTCGGCTTCGACCGCTTCGATACGAGGCCAGTACTGGCGGTACACAACTTCCGCCTTCTCCTTCAGGTCCTTGGATCCCTTGATCCACTTGGTGTTGAAGGTGTTGATCTGCTCATTGATAACTTCAGGGATGTCCGAAGCACCGACCTTCTGACGCGTCATCGGGTCGACCATCTCGGTACCAACGATCTCGTTGATCTCCTCGGTCATCTCCTTGAAGAGCTTGATCGCTTGCGCGTCTTGCTCTGCTTCGTATGCCGCGATCTCGGCTTTGAGTGCTTTCTTCTGCGCTTCGTTCATATGAACGCGACGCGAGAACTTCTTGGTCCCGATGACAATGCCGCTGGTACCGGCGCTGACTTCGAGCGAGTCGTTCTTCACATCCTCACCCGCACGACCGAAGATCGCGTGGAGGAGTTTCTCTTCAGGAGTCAGTTCGGTTTTACTCTTTGGAGAGACCTTTCCAACGAGGACATCACCAGGACCGACCTTGGCGCCGACGCGGATGATGCCATTCTCATCGAGATTGCGGAGCATGCGTTCGGAGACATTCGGGATGTCACGCGTGAACTCTTCGCGTCCGAGCTTGGTCTCACGGACTTCAACATCGTACGAGTTGATGTGGATACTCGTGAACGCGTCGTCTTTCACGAGGCGCTCGGAGATCACGATCGCGTCTTCGAAGTTGTAGCCGTCGAAGGTGTTGAACGCGACGAGCGCGTTCTTCCCGATCGCGAGCTCACCATTCTGGGTCGAAGCACCGTCAGCGATGACCTCGCCCTTCTTGACGCGCTGACCCTTCTTGACGATCGGCTTCTGATTCTGACAGGTACGCTCGTTGAGGCCGACAAACTTGCGGAAGACATACTCGTCCGCGTTGTCGATGACGATGCGCTGGGAGTCGACATAGGTCACCTTGCCGCCACGCTTCGCTTTCACGAGCATACCGGAGTAGTTCCCGACTTCCTGTTCCATACCAGTGGCGACGCAAGGCGGATCGACCTTGATCAACGGAACCGCTTGGCGCTGCATGTTCGAACCCATGAGCGCACGGTTCGCGTCGTCATGCTCAAGGAACGGGATCAGCGAAGCGGAAATACCCACGAGCTGCTTTGGTGAAACATCAACATAGTTGACTTCCTTCGGTTTCACTTCAGCGAGTTCGCCGTCCATGCGAGCGAGGACATACTTGTCCTTGAACTCACCCTCTGGGGTGAGCACATCCGCTGGCGCGAGGACGGAGCGGATTTCTTCGTCAGCACGGAGCTGGACGACCTTGCCGGTCAGCTTGCCGTCCTTGACTTCGCGGTATGGCGTGCGCAGGAATCCGTACTCGTCGACTGTTGAGTAGATACCCAACGAGACGATCAGACCGATGTTGGTACCTTCGGGAGTTTCGATCGGACACACACGCCCGTAGTGCGAGGTGTGGACATCTCGAACCTCAAAGCCAGCACGCTTGCGGTTGAGACCACCTGGACCAAGCGCGGACAATCGACGCTCGTGAACGAGCGACGAGAGCGGGTTGGTCTGGTCAACGACCTGCGAGAGTTCCGAGCGGCCGAAGAAGAAATCGATCGCGCTGGAGATGGACTTGGAGTTGACAAGGTCCGCGATTTTCGCGACCTCTTCCGGATCCTTCACGCTCATGCGCTCCTGCACAGTTCGGCGGAGCTTGAGCAGACCCTTGCGGATCTCTTCGACCGCGAGCTCGTCGAGCGTACGCAGACGACGATTGCCGAGGTGGTCGATGTCGTCAACGAGCGCCACCGGACGGCCGGTGTCTGGATCCAGACGATTCGAGCGAAGGTCCAGCATGTACTGGATGACCTTCAGGAAGTCCAGTCCTAGCAGGAAAAGCTGATCGCCGTCGATGTCCATATCGAACTTGCGGTTGATACGGAAACGACCGACGCTGCCGAGACGGTAGCGGTTGTCGTCGAAGAACTTCTCGTGGAAGAGCTGCTTCGCCTTCTCGACCTGCGGCGGGTTGCCGGGACGCAGACGCGAGTAGATCTTGAGCATCGCGCGATCGTAATCGCTCGTCACATTCGGGACATCGTCGAACGCTTCAAGGTTCTCTTCAGCGATGGTGTTGAGGATCAGCGAGTCGCTTGGGTTCTGGACCACGCGGATGGTGCCGAGCGAGGATGCCTTGATCGCTTCAGCGGCTTCTTCGCCAACCTGGCAGCCGACGTGGACGAGTTCTTCGCCCGATTCGGTATCGATGATCGAAGCCGCAGCCCAGTCTTCTGGGTGGACGTCCTTCGCTTTGATCTCAGCGACTTCGTAGAAGAGGCCGATGATCGCGTCGGTCGATGCGACCGATTCGTCGAGACAGCGCAGGAAGGTGGTCGCCGCGAGCTTGGTGGACTGATCGATGCGCATCGCGAGCACATCTTTCTTGGTCACTTCGAGCTCGATCCACGAGCCACGCTCAGGGATGATGCGGGCGCTGTGGAGCGGACGGTCGCCCTCGCTGGACACGATGGAGAAGTCCACACCTGGTGAGCGGTGGAGCTGCGAAACGATGACACGCTCCGCACCGTTGACGATGAACTCGCCGCCGCCGAGCATGATGGGGAACTCTCCGAGATAGATATCTTCTTCTGGGAGATCGCCGTGGGTTTCGCGCTTGAGGCGCAGACACAGCTTGAACGGGTGCCCGTAGGTCAAGCGGAGCTGACGGCACTCGTCTGGGGTGTAGCGTGGTTCGTCGAGCGAGTAGCTGACGTACTCAAGCTGCATCGTCTCGTCGTATGATTCGATCGGGAAGATTTCCCGCAGGAGCGCTTCGAGACCAAACTTGGTTTCGCGCGATTCTGGATCCCTTTCAAACTGGAGAAACCGCTCGTACGCGGCTTGCTGCACCTGCCAAAGATCTGGGACTTCCGTTGTATCGCCTCGTTTGGCGAAACTCCGGACCACTCGCTCGCGCTCCATTTGGCGCACTTTGGTCGCTGCCATCCAACACCTCGTTGTGGTTCTCAACAGGCGCGCACCATCTCACGATGCTACACACATGAAGAACTCGATAAAATTGTGGTATGCCCCGATTGCCGGCCGATAGGGGAAGTCTAGACACCTAAGGACTCACAAACCAGTCCCTTACAAGCAGAACCCGAACCGATTCCACTCAAATTTTGGTGCCAGTTCTGTACCCAACCGATCGTCACGAGGAACACCTCGCACACCCAACATCCAACCAAAGACCAAACAACAAATGGTCTTTCCGCTTTGTATGTCCAAGAGCGCGGTTTCAAACGCTCCAAACATGAGAGAATCGGGCGTCCCGATTGCGCGGGACGCCCGACGAATGTCGACAGCCAACAGAACCGAAGTCCTGCGGGCTTCTTTGAAAGATTAAGCGAGTTCGATCTCGGCGCCAGCTTCTTCGAGCTTGCCCTTGATTTCTTCTGCTTCGTCCTTGGAGACGCCTTCCTTGACCTTCGCGCCGGACTCTTCTGCGAGAGCCTTTGCTTCCTTGAGGCCGAGACCAGTGATCTCGCGGATTGCCTTGATCGCTTGGATCTTGTTGCCGCCAGGGCTCTTGATGATGACATCGAACGAGGACTTCTCTTCCGCTGCACCACCAGCGTCGCCACCGCCGCCGCCAGCGACCATGACGGCGCCGCCTGCTGCTGCTTCGATGCCGTAGGTATCCTTCATGTAGTCACCGAGGTCGACTGCTTCCTTGAGGGTGAGGCCTGCGAGCTCGTCGCCGAGTTTGGTGATCTTTGCGTCAAAAGTTTTGGTTGCTTCGTCGGACATTGCCCAACTCCTTCTTCATTACGCGCATCTCTTGATGCGTCTGACTCGTTCATCCGAGAGGGGCCGAACCGCTCGGCTCTTTAACCCTGCTCAGTCAAGAGCTCAGGGCCAGTCGGATGAGGACGGGTTTCATTGTGTGCCGATGCTCATATGAGCACCGACGGAACTTCGTATCTACACAGCGATCCGTACGCTCAGGCTTACACCTTCGCGATGGTTTCGCCTTTTTCCAGCTTTTCTTCGATGCTCTTGATGATGCCTGCAAGACCTGAACCTGGACCCTTGAGCGAACCCATGAGGTTGCGTGCCGGGCTGAGGATGAGGGTGACATCTTCGGCGATCGCTTCTTCGCGAGTCGGGAACTTGCTCAGTTCCTTTACGCCAGCTTCGCCCTCGAAGAGCATGCCGTCGAGGACAGCACCCTTGAGCTCAATGTCTGGGAACTCCTTGAGCATGCCAACGATCTCGCGAGCGACATCGACGACCGATTCAGCGCCGTATGCAAGAGCGCTGGCGCCCTTCATGACTTCGCCGAGTGGTGCGAGCGAGGTTTCTCCGAATGCTTTGCCGAAGAGGCTGTTCCGCATGATGGTCACACGGATTTCTTTCTTGGCAAGACCGGTACGGATCGCGTTGGTGTCGTTGGAGCTGATCCCACGCAGACCGATGACGAGCGCGTTCTCTTGGTCGCCGACGCGATCGACATAGTCTTGGATCATCATTTCTTTGACTGGTTTACTCATCTGATGACCCCTTTATTCTTCTTCACTCGCCAGAGCAACCTGGACCCCTGGGGTCATGGTGCCGCTGAGCGTGATCTTCTTGATGTAACGACCCTTGACCGCGGAAGGACGCGCCTTCTCGATCGTGGTCACGAAGTGGTTGTAGTTCTCGAGCAGGTCCGCTTCCGAGAAGCTCATCTTCCCGAGAATCGCGTGGACGTTGCCGCCCTTGTCGGCGCGGTACTCAAGCTTACCAGCCGAGAAGTCCTTGACTGCTTCAGCAACCTTTGGAGTCACGGTGCCGTTCTTCGGAGATGGCATCAGACCCTTTGGACCGAGCACCTTACCGAGGACGGACATGACACGCATCATGTCAGGGGAAGCGATCGCGACATCGAAGTCGAACCATCCGCCCTTGACCTTGTTGACGAGTTCGTCGCCGCCGGCTTCGATCGCGCCAGCCGCCATCGCGTCTTTGACATGCTCGGGAGCACAGAACGCGATCACTCGCTTGGACTTGCCGATGCCCTTGGGGAGCGAGACCGAGCCACGGATCATCTGGTCCGCGTGCTTGACGTCCACACCGAGGTGCATGCTGATCTCGACCGACTGGTCAAACTTGGTCCCTTTGAACTTCTTGACTGCTGCGACGGCTTCCGGTGCTTCCAATGGCTCAGCGGGAACCAGAGCAGCGTTTTCTTTTGCTCGTTTGGTCATACCCATGATTAGCCCTCCACCGTGATGCCCATGGAGCGGGCGGTCCCAGCGATAATCTTCATCGCCGCGTCGATATCGTGTGCATTCAGGTCTTCGCCTTTTTCTTCAGCGATCTTCTTGCACTGCTCTGCAGTGATCGAACCAACGATGTTCTGTGGTTCGCCGGACCCCTTCTCGAGACCCGCCGCTTCCTTGATCAGCACAGACGCTGGAGACGACTTGATGTCGAACTCGAACGAACGATCGTTGTAGACGCGAACGACACAACCAACGATCTTCCCGTTGAGTTGACCGGTCGCGGCGTTAAACTGCTGAATGAACTGCCCAGGGTTGACACCCTTTGCACCGAGAACAGGACCCAGAGGCGGAGCCGGCGTTGCCTGCCCTCCCGGAGCCATGATCTTAAACTGCTCAATTAACTCTTTGTCGGCCATTTGATCTCCACCTCCCACACACGCACTCGTTCAATCGAACACCCGATCTGGCCAGATCGGCACGCCTGTGGTTCACACGGTTCACAATGATCCCAGCACACCACGCGATGCGCCGGGCCCCGACTCTAGACCGCGCCGATCAAGCAGTCCAGATCCCAGTGTCTATTGATCTGTCAATTCAGCAGTTCCATCACACCCGACAAGCAGAACTACACCCCAAATCTTCCAGCGACACCAACCAAAGCCCAATCATCCATCAAGGCTTGATCAGCAAGAACCCGTCCACGATCTCCTGCTCGAGTCCCTGATCAATCGCCCGATCGAGCATCTCGCCTGCGCGTTCGTATCGCCCCTCGGCTTGCATGAGCATCGCGACCATAAACCAACGCTCCGGAGTAGGGTATCGCTGAGCATGCTTGACGCATTTGACGAGCAGCGTCCTGAGCGTGCCTTGATCGATCCCAAGGAACTCCGGATCAAAGGGATCGGCGCCAAGAGCCGGATCATTCATGTACGCGTTGTGCATCATCTCGATCGAGATGTCGAGGTCATTCATCAATCCCACAGCGATCGCGAACTCGCGGAGCACCACCCAATCTTCGGGATTGTCTTGGAGATACGAGCCATAGGACCCGATTGCCCACTCCGCGATTTCACGATGGAAGGGTTCTTCTTTGAGTCGAGGAAGATCGAGGTACGGGCAATCTGGATTGTCGCAAAAGTGCGCATAACCATCCGGAGTTGTCGGCCTCTCAACCCCACGCATCTCATCGCGTGCTTTGACAAGCTTCTCGTATTTGACAATTCTGGAGTTGGGATGATCGATGACATCGTTGTCCGAGGTCACCAGTTCTTGCCATGGACCATGGATTGGATCATTCGCAGGACGCTCATAACGCCAAGTGCCGGGACCGAAGCTAAAGCTGAATCGATAGGTAAATGTCCATGTGACCGTCCCCCCACCGCTGGTGGTGTAGATTCCTGTTGTCGTGCCGGGCTGACCACCCGACTGTCCAGAGCCGCCGCTGGTTGTCATTGTGGCCGTGCCTTGGTTGTTGCTCACGCTCGTTTGAGCATGCAATGAGTGCGAAAGCGCAACTATCAATGAACTCGCAACGATTCTGATCCTCTGTTTCATGCTCATCCCCGTTCAGAAATAGAAATCAAACGCATCATGGCGTGTTTAACACGAACGCCTCAGCGATGGAATCATCGAGTCCGAGCTCGATCGCTCGATCAAGCATCTCTGATGCACGCCCGAATCGACCTTCGGCCTGCATCAGGACCGCTACCACAAACCACCTTTGAGCACTCGGCGCCCGATGCGCATGCTTCACGCACTTGACAAGGAAGTCCCTGAAACTGCGCGAATCGATCCCGAGAAACTCTGGATCGAATGGGTCGCTACCGAGCTCCGGATTATTGAGATACGCCGAATACAACACATCGATCGCGATATCCAGATCCATCAGCACACCCACGGATATTGCGAACTCCCTGAGCACATACCAGTCCTCAGGATTGATCTCAAGATACATGATGTACCACTCGATCGCGTACGGTGCGTATGTTCGACTCAGAGGCGTTGACTCCACTCGATCCCGATCCAGATACTCACAATCCGGATTGTCGCAGACATGATACAGACCACCCGGAATCCGTGGCCGGACGAGCCCTCGCATCTGATCCCTCGCGCGTTGCAGACTGTCGTAGTTCTCAAGCCGAGCGTTTGGGTGACCAACCTCATCCATGTCCGAAGTCAGCAGTTCCTGCTTCGGACCTTCTAGGAAGATCCGTTCGGGTTTTTCAATGATCCACCCGACACTGCTGCTCCAGCTGTAGTGCGAACTGGTTTTGGTCCAGCGGACTACATTCCCGTTCGGAGTGCGATACTCACCAGAAGTCGCTTCGTGATATCCCGGCTGACCAATCACAGGAACAGAGGCACCGCAGAGCAGAGTAATCAAACTCATCAACATAGCACTACGCTTCCACACCACGGCTCCCCTTTCGTTGTCCCACATTCGATCCGTCTGTGAATCGCTCCGGTTGCACCCTCGACCCCATCTCCACCTACAGTCTCGCATGAAAAGAGCATCATTCCAAGCCCTCGTCACCACATCCGCTGTTTTTTGCTCACTCCCACTTGCGGGATGCTCAGGAATCGGATTTGTTGGATCTGCCGGATCAAGCATCACTCGTGATTCATCAGGACTGGTCTTTGAAACGGAATATCCGATTCGTGCGTATACCTTCGATGATCGAAACACCGCTGATGTATTCCTGACGGATCTCTCGGATGCCGAGCTCTCTGCGTTTTTCACTGAATCACGCGACTGGTCACAGATCACAGGGACCATCGCTCGTGTGCATCTCTTCCTCAATCCAAAGCCGGGACGAACACCAATCGAACCAACCGCGGCGTCCGCTTCCGTACGCTGGATTGTCATCACTGAAGGCGAGATCGGTGTCTACGACGGCGCCGGATTCATGATCCCAGGAGGACGCGTGACTGGTGGTTCAATCTCAGGTTCAATCCGCAATGCCCCGCTCAAGCTCACGCGCAAAACACCTGGATTCGCTGATCCGCTTGTGACTCCTGAAATCGACATCAAGTTTGGAACCAAGGTTGATGATCAGAGCGCCGATGAACTCGCTTCACGAGTCGAAGCCCTCGCGGCTCGTGCCGAACCAGTTGAATAAAAAAACCCGCGAGTGAACACTCGCGGGATTCAATGTTAGGAACAAGTAATCGATTACGGACATCCCGCAGCGTACTGCGCGAGGAACTCACTCACATCGAGGAAGTTGAAGTTCCCATCGGAGATCAGGTCCGCACTTGGATCCTGCAGACCATACGCAGCGAGGAATGCGGACACATCGAGGAAGTTGAGCGAACCATCCTCCTCAAAGTCTGCGGCACAATCAGCACCACAGACCTGCGAAGCGATCATGAATCCATCGATCCCCGCTTCAACGAGCGAATCAGAACCTTCATCAGTGATTGTCACACGCATTTTGAAGATCTGGGTAGGTTCCACATAATCAGCGATGCGATAGCGTTTGATCACCCAGCCGTTGGTGTCATCGATCTCATCGACCGGGAACCAGTTGATCCCGACATTGG